TCGGTCGGAAATTTGGAAATTCGGCTCGGTTGAGAGAACCCTGGTTTCCAAACTATCCATATTTTCATTCCGAATTCCGAATAGCATTAATTCGGTTTCAGTTCGGTTTGGTTCGGGTTTACCGAACCGGTTGCCCACCCTTAGCCACCAGCAAGGACCTTTCCTTCCCTTGGCTAGTCACATGAGATTTTAATGCCATCTGGTGTTCCACAGAGAAGGCGGGTGTTGGCAATTATTCAATTACTAGAGATTATACTCGCTTCAATGCTTGGATTAACCAAGCCGAACTAATTGATTTGGCTTTCTCAGGTCTGAAGTTCATTTGGACCAGAGGTGATTGCATACATTCTGTAAAAGCCAATAGACCTGATAGGAAATTTTGCATTGCAAAATGGAATTCCCTTTTCAAAGCGTCGACAGTCACTCACCTGTCTCGACTTTACTCAAATCACATCCAATCCTGATATCTATGTGCAAACAGAGAGCCTCCAATAACTCTTACAAACCTTTTAAATTTGAATTTATGTGTCTTTATCACAATGATTTTCCTGATTTTATTGGAGGAGTTTGGGCACAAGATACTCCTCCTCCTCGGCTCTGCTAAATTTGCATAAAAGTTGCGAGGATGGAATTCTACCGGTTTTTGCTAATATTCACATCATGAAGAAGCGGCTACTTGCACGGATTAATAGAATTCAAGAACATCTATCCATCTCTTTCTCTACCGGATTCGACAAAATGTTGAAAAAGCTTGACAAAGAACTCGACCAAGTCCTTGAAAGAGAAGAAATGCGTAAAGTTTAGAGAGAGAAATAAAAAGTACTTCCGCCAATAAGCCTCAATCAGATGCCGCCGAAATTAAATTACTAGCTTGAAGAACACAAACAGAGATTCGGTGTTGGATCCTCATGAGTTAGCTAATTTGGTCTTAAATTTTTTCTTGAATTGTATATGCAGGATTCTAATGAATATACAAATAAGATGCCCAAAGGCCAGTTCCCATTACTGAATTTTAGCGAGCTCTCGAACCTCCTCCGACCTTTCACAATAGGAAACATTTACCGAGCTCTCCATGAAATGAAGCCTTTACAAGCTACACGCCATGATGGATTCCAAGCGATATTTTATCAACATAGCTTGGGATTTGTTGGCAAGGCTTTAACTGACAAGGCAATTAAGTTTTTAAAACAAATGATTTTCGAGAGACTGTAACAGAGTCTATAGTGGTGCTTATTAAAAAGGTCGAAGACCCATACCTAGTCAGCCAACTGCGCCCTATTTGCTTCAACAACGTACGTGTGTATGAAAGCCATTACCAAGGCTATCACAAAAGATCTTAAACCAGTTATGCAGAAGCCGATTGCGATGACCCAAAGGAGCTTCATATCCTGCAGGCAAATAGTAGACACAATTATTGTAATGCAGGAAGTGCTTCATTTATTACACAGAAATACGGGCACGAGGAGGTTTAGTAATCAAGATTTACCTTGATAAAGCATAGACAAACTGTGCTAGGAATTCTTCCATGACACTCTCAAGGAGGCGCGGCTTCCAAGTACTTGGATTGAACGAATTTTATTTTGTGGTCAACGTAAGAGTATGAGGTTGAACTTGAATAAACAAATCAAACCACCAATTCTTCCCACTAGGGGAGTACGCCATGTAGACCCTCTTTCCTCGTACCTTTTTTTTTTGTTATGCATGGAACATTTGTCGCATAAAATAAATGAAGCTATGGATGAAAAAAGTGGAAACCTCTAGAACTCACTTTGGAGGACCAAGACTTTCTCACCCTTTTTTTGCGGAGGATATGGTCATTTGTGCTTAAGCGGAGCTCAATCAAATCTAAGCAGTAGCAACACATTAATCTCTCTAAATTATTCATGTTTGTATCTATGAATGTAAGAAGGGACAAAGCAGCAGCTATTAGTCACAAAGTTGGAATTCCTCTGAACTCCGACATCAGGGCTACTTAGGGATTCAAGTGATCAATCGTAAGGTAACAAATGATCATTACATATAGATAGTCTGTAGCATTGTAGAAAAAATTGGCACATTGGAAAACTCAAAGACTTTCTCTCGCTGCAAGACTCACGGTGGTGAAATCTGTCTCATCCTCTGTTTCAAGTTATCCCATGCAGACTGAAAACCTTCCTCCACTTGCAATGTTTTTTTATCGTTGCAGTAGAGAATTAATATGGGTAGATATAAATGAAAAGAAGAGGTCCCATTTGGTATCATGGGAAAAGCTTCAAGAGCCAAAAAGTCAAGATGGAACTGGAATAAGGACAAGCCGACATGCCAACCTTGCCATGTTGGCCAAAATGAGATGGAGACTACTCACAGAGAAGTATACACTTTGGGTCAGAGTGTTGAAGAGTAAAGACAACTAACAAATCCGCAACCCGGACATCCTTCAAGCTCTAAACGGGAGTTCTTTCACTTAATGTAGCATTACTAAAGCTACTTTAGTCCTTCGTCAAGGATGTCCTCGAAATGGATTGAACACTAAGTTTTGGACTGATGTTTGGATTTTGTAGATTCCTCTAGTTCAAGTGAAAAATTCTAAAATCAGAAAGGACTTGCTTAACACTCATGTTGCTGACTAAATCGACGATGATGGAAGATGGAACAAGGCAAGATTAGACTCTTACCTTCCTTAGGAGGTGGCAGGCAACATAAAAACCTTGACATTGGATCGATTCTCCTCGACAAATGCCACACTTTTTCTGGAGAGAAATCTTAAATGGTCATTTCTCAACAAAGACTACTTACAAGATAGCGTACCTGAATGATGTTCCTATGAATACAACAACACAACCACCATGGAAGATAATTTGGAAGCTGCCAATGCCGGAGAGGGTGTAGACCTTTGTCTGGCTCCTCTATTTATACAAAATCAATACTCGAGCACGTTTGCACTCAAAACTTCTTGTTCTTACGCCTAGTTGTCTTCGCTTCAACAACACCATGAAAAATCGACTTCACATACTCTGAGATTGTACAACAACCAAATATCTCTAGGATAAGACCTTACCTCAACACAAAAAACTGCTTTCTTTGCATAATTAGACACCACCTGGTTTCAGGATAACCTTACTAGTAGAGACATCAGCCCACGTGGCCCCCCATGGGCTACCTTTTTGTAGTTGTAGTTTGGATGCTTTGGAAGCAAAGGAATGAGCTCACGTTTCATGGACCGAATAAGGTGTTGTCTTTTCCCTCTCTCACCAATGTTATTTAAGCTATAACAAGTTTATTGGCTGAAGCATGGAATTCCCCAAGTCTCAGTCTTAACGAAATCCCAACAATGTCAAGGAGAACTAAAACACAAATTAGATGGAACCTGCCACCCACCAGTTGACATAAATTGAACATAGATGGAGCTGTTATGGTGAGCTTTACTTCGAGACAATAATGAGAGATGGTCGAAGGATTTCCTTTACAAGGTTAGAAGTAGCTCAATAGTTGTAGCAGAACATTGGGCAAAACATGAAGGGCTCACATGGCATGGAATAGTTGTATACATGCCATTAACTTGGAGACATATTCGTTGACTGCAAAGGGACTCATTAAACATCGTACTGATCCAATTCACCCACGTGCTACCATTTTGGTGTCTGTTTGACGCAAGATAGCACAAGATTGTTTGGTTCGCATTTCTCATACGTATCATGAGGGGATTAGAGCAACGGGTTGACTCTCGAAGTACAGTCTCATCTATCCTTTTGAATCACATAAACTTGCGCACTCCCACCCGAACTACTACACATCATTAATGAAGACATGCGTTATGTTAGCTTCTTAAAGAGCATCGTGATAAGAAACGTTACTACGAGTTCTTCCCCTCCCCCTCTTGTAATCATCTCTACGACGACGACCTCCACTTGATAAAAACAACAACAACAATGTTGTTGGTTTATATTGTCATCCATGAAGAAAAAGAAGGTGAAATCGATAGGACGATCATTTGGTGGTGGATACAAAAAATAATTAATTTAATTACTTTTATTGACATTTCGGCACTTAACCGTTAAAATTATCATTGACTACCATATATGAGGAGTTGATGAAATTGAACGATTAATGACCAATAATGAAATGAGATACGAATGACCCAATATATAATTTAGTCTTAAAAAACATGAGGGATAAATTGCACGATTGGTCACTGGGTTTACAAAAAAGTGTCATGTTTAGTCATTAGAAATATTTAATTCTAATGTTGATCACTCGAATTAGTAAAATGATCCACATTTGGTCACTCTCAGTTAGTCTCCATCCAACTCCGTTAATCGAGTATGTTATGTGCTGACGCTAGGGTTGTGAAAATAGACCAGATCGTTAGAAAAACTGAGGTCAATCACAAACACATTTCACGAGAAAGTAGAGACAATCGTGTCTCCATATGACATTATGTTGAGGCTGCTAGATGATTTTGGTTTTGGGTTTTCAGAAATTGAAGAGAGGGAAATGGAAATGAGTTTCATGGCGGTTGATGTTGCTGGTGCGGTAGTGCCCAGTTATTCCGGCCCTAACCACACAACTCTGGGAAGCCAGAAAGCGACAAAAGAGCTAGGTCTCACCATGGAAAAGGAGAAGGAGACGATGTAGAAAGAGGAGATTCTGGTGGAGGTGGTTGGTTTTGATTTATGGGTTGGGTTTGGTCGGGTTATGAATTAGGTTGAATTTGATGACATGGAGGGTTTGATGACGTGGAAGGTCTGGTTTGGTGATGTGGCATGGTAAAATAGGGCACATCAGCACTTCTGTTAGTCACGTCAGCAAATGACAGACGGTTCTAATGAAGACTGATGGAGACTAACGAAAAGTGACCAAATATAAACTATTTTACTAATTCGAGTGATCAACATGAAAATTAAAATATTTTTAATAACTAAATATGACACTTTTATAAATGACCAAAGTCCAAAAGTGGAATTTTCCAAAAAAAATACAAGGATCCAAAATTGTCCCTTTGGCTCTTCCCCTCACTTCCCTCGAATTCCCAAACGGAGGGTGGAGCTAGCAAACGAAAATACGCTCTTTTCGCTGCTTCTCTTTCTCTGCCACCTGAGCGCCAGCACTGTAACTCGGGGAACGGTCGGCGTTTGTTTCAGTCCCAGAGGCCAGAACCACCGCCCGTAGGCTCGACTCCCACTTCCTTCCCTCCTGCCTCTCCATTTTATCTCCTAGACTCTGTCTCTGTCGGTGAACGGAGACGGCAATGAGATTGCTCTTGGCTCCGGCTCTCCTCTGTTCTCTTCTCCTCTGCTTTCCTGCCACTGAATCAGCCAATGGGGAGTCCAACTCCACGGTGGAGGTAAATGCAACCATGGATTCCAACTCTACGCGACTCAGATCCAGGGAGGACACCTTCGCCTTCATGATCGATCGCGCGCTGGAGAAGGAGTTCAATGAGACGGACCAGAGTGAAGGTCTGTTTACTGGATCCGAGCTTCCTTCATATGCGAGCTGCATTTTTTTCGCTTTCTCCATTCTCCTTTTCTCTAATTCCTGAAGCAATAAGGCTTTTTCAGCAATGGCGGTGAGGTTTCGATTGTCAAATCCTTGCCAATTCAGCAGCTAATCCGTGTTTTCTCTTTCTTCAATTACTCCATTGCATTTCCTTGAAAAGCTTCAATTCTGGTATCGGGATGCGCTGTTGTTTTGAGCTTCCGTTGATTGGGTTCCGTCTTCACTCTGATTCGACCTAAATTCTTGTGGAAAGAAGTGTTCTTTTGTTAGACAAAGTTGCTCGAATTGGAAATCACAGAAGCTTTGAGAATCTAACTTATTCATCTTCGCATTTGTAGCCACTGATCCCGGAAGCTTCAATAACAGCGTTGCTGGACAGCAGGTAGGTAGCATTTTTAGCTTTTCTTTGGTGTAACTCATAGAGGTTTCTTTAAGTTGTTGCTTGTGCTGTATATGTTTATTGGCACCGTATATCACAACAGTGAGCTCACTTGGTTCTTGAGTTTTAGGCAGAATGTACTAGAACATGATGGAAGCTATTGTAGTGTCACCCACAGTAGAACTATCATCAGTATTGGAATAAGAAAATGTTAACTCATCGCTCGTAGTAGTATGTTAAGATGCTGATGACTCATTATAGGTCAAGTTCAACAATGGGCTTCAATTTTATGGTCTTGTAACTATTGATGTGGCTCTGACTAAAGATCCGGGTGGCTGTAGGCGTACAATTAACAAAAATGTGGTACTTTTTTGTTTTGAATTGCACTAGGAGTTTGCTGTGTGTGGGCAAGTATCCAAATATGTCAACTTTGAAGGGGGGTGGTAGAAGTAATTTTGTAGTTGTGAATGCCGACCTTGTTTGTAGTCATAACTTCATTACATTTCTCATTGTGTACTATTGTCTCCGTGTTAACCGGTGCCTATTTGGAAATGTTTCATTGCGCTAGGCAGTTTTGGAGACTGTTGCCAGGGTCACAACCAAGAAGAATGAATCCAAGGAGGAGAAGTATGAGTTCAACCTGCTGCATATTTTATTTTCTTCTGGATATTCTGTAGCAGTTGAACATTTACTCAATAATTTTACTAACAGATTTGACAAGTGCCGACTCTTCTGTGAAATATGCCAGGTCTTTTCAGTTTCATGATGTTTTCCATTTTGACAATGATAACCGGGGGGAAGATGCTCCAAGATTGATTGATCGAAAGGTAGGATCAATATCTGTCTTTTATACTCATAATGTACATATTGAAGCCATTTAGTTGAAGCCTGATACTAGGAGAATCTATGAAGGCAAGTCTCCGGCATCTGGAACTGATACATTCTTTCTCTTTTGCTTATTGCCCATTTTATTTCAGGACAATGTCTTTATTATATCAAATCGAAAGTCCAAATATCCCGTGCTACAACTAGACTTAACGTGAGCTTGATCCTATTCATTTCTTCATCTTGATCCTTCATACTTTAGAAATTCAACGAGCAGTAATATCTTCTGTTCTCTTTCTGTTTCAAATTTGTATCATTACAGTTTGATATCAGATCTAGTGGTTGTCATTGTATCTGCTGCTTGTGGCGGAATAGCATTTGCTTGTGCTGGACAACCGGTTAGCATACTTGACTGCTATATGCTTTTTGACTGACAAGTTTCTCTCACTTCCTTACCGCTCATTAATTCCCTCCTTTCTCTTACTTTTATGAATCAATCCATTTCAGTAGGCTTTATCATTTAAGATGCTTCCTTTCCTAGCTTATTTAAAGAACCACTGATGTCATTGAATACACTATGTTCAGGTATTTACTGGATACCTGCTAGCAGGATCTGTAATTGGGCCAGGGGGCTTCAGCTTTGTCAGTGAAATGGTACAGGTAAGTTGACATGCTGTTTTCGAATCCAGTGAGAAGTTTTAGACATGTAGATGTATTTCATGTACAATTTCATATCTCAGACTCAGGCAGCTGTGAAGTTTCAGACAGTCACTATGAGCTTCCTATTATCTATTCCGTTTATTCTACCATTCTAGTGTGTGAACATTATTTGCAGTTGAAATCTAGCCGCGACCATAGCATCATAGGTGTCATGTGCCTCGTGTCTTTTTGTTCCTTATGTCATTAGGTTTGCCTCTAGTCTAGTTTTCTCAAGTCATTCATTATTTTAATTTTTTTTCTTAAAACTAATGCAGTATATACACTGCCAGTAGGTACTGACTGTAAGGTTGAACTTCCTTAAACTCTACTCCATGAAATCTTCTCGTCATACTTTACTTTGGTAGCAATGTTTGCAGATGAAACTTGGGCAATTGTAAAGTTTGCTACTGAGAATACCCATGCCGTTCAGTTGATGTCTTGTCTAGCAAGGGTTCTTAATCAATCACAACCTCTATTTTCTTATAAGATACTGTAAAATTGGCAGGTGGAGACAGTGGCACAATTTGGTGTTATTTTCCTCCTGTTTGCATTGGGCCTGGAGTTCTCCATTGCAAAGGTCTGCACATTTTCCTTCCGGGTTTTGTGCTTTTAACTACTTTATAGCATAACCTTTTGCATTTCCTTTCCAAATGCAGCTCCGCGTTGTCCGAGCAGTTGCTGTTGTTGGAGGTCTTCTCCAGATTTCGCTCTTTATGTGCCTTTGTGGATTGATAGCCTCGGTATATTATGCATGGTTTAAGTTCTCATAGGCCAACATTCTTAATTAAATTCTGTTGTATATGCTCATGTGTGAGTCTAAGAAACTATCCCCAAGATGAAAAAGTCATAACAAACTTCAGTTTAAATGAAGAAAATGGAGTTCTTTATACCGTATTTGCAGATTTCCCCGTTACATCCCTGCCGTAACTTGGTGATGCCTCTAACCGCATGTTTGTTTTGCAGTTATGTGGAGGTAAGCCTTCAGAAGGAGTATTTGTTGGTGCATTTCTCTCAATGTCTTCAACTGCAGTGGTAACACTCTCTGGCATAGGTTGATTGATTTCTGTGTTTGTGTGCTTCGGATCCAAATATGTTATTTGATTTCACAGTTCACTAGATGAAGTTTGTTCTGTTTGAATCTCCTTCTGTTCTATGATAGAACGACAATGTGTTCTTCCATGCATATGTCAAGCCTTTTCTGTTAAACGCTATCAGGCAAAGAGGATGCAAATCCTTGGTTTCTTCCCTTTGATTTTAGATCTTTCTTGCTCGACTCCTACTCATACAGTAACGACAGCCTTTGGGTTGACAGCCATATTTCAGGTTTTCATTTTTGTTTGCCAGTTAGGTATATCTTTCAACTTTTCCTTTCTTCACAAGGGCATTGGCGTCAGATTGACCAATGAAGATCGTGTCTGAGACATTTGAATACTACTAAGTTGTGGTCTTGTCAATGTTAGTCACTGCCGATGTTTTAAACTATTTTTATAAAATGGTTACTTAAATGAGACTGGACAATAAAAAGCATATATCAATAAAATGAATAACTATGTTGGTTTATTCATTCTTTCAGGATTTGGACAAGTAGCGAAACAATAGCACATACAGTCTGCTACTGTACGAATGACTCATTTGTAATTATAGTTGTCTTTGTGCCTCTTTTAGTCCCGCCGCCTCTTCTTTAGCCTATTCTGCTCTTCATTTGTAGTGCTATCACTTGGCTGCCAAGCAAGTAATGAAACAGAACCCTTTATGCTGACTGCGGTGCTTTCTTGCTGATTTTTTAGATGATCTGTCTGCTCAACAGTCTCCACTGTTTTCTTATCTATGGTTGAATTTGTTCTGCTGCAGGTTCTGAAATTTCTGATGGAAAGAAATAGCATAAATACCCTGTATGGTCAGGTCACTGTCGGTATCCTCATTCTGCAGGTAGACTTAAAACAGCATAAATACCCTATACTGGACTTACAACTTCAGGGACTAAAAATAGGACGTTTTCCGATGTTTAGATTACGATTTCTAAAGTCCAAACTTCAATGATATTTTTGGTTTTAATTCTCGGTCTTTATGATTGCTATCCATGGAATTTCCTTTATATTTGGATTTGTGGTCTATCAGGATTGTGCTGTTGGTCTTCTGTTTGCTTTACTTCCTGTCCTTGGTGGTACATCCGGTGTTCTTCAGGGAGTGATATCCATGACTAAATTGTAAGTATCTGAACCCTACTGTAGTACATCAATTGTAAATGTTAATGTAAGTAAAACATGTGTATGCTCAATCAAATGTAGATGTTATTAAAAGTAAACAAAATAATTAAATTGATATAAGCTATATGATCTAACCATGACTTCTTACAACTTTTTGCACATCACTGCACCTGTTTACTCTTTGTTTGGGAAACTATTATGTATGTAAATTTTTGTAGTTTGTAAGATTTTAAGGTGGTTAAAGACCTGAACTTAAGCACTTGAGTTTATTTGGTATCATTTTTATATTTTGCAGGATACATACTTGCACAATTGATGCTGTATTTACTTAAGCCTCATTCTTCATGTTTAGTCTGGTTGCATTTAGGGTTTGTACATGTAATCTCTTGGAGTTCACTAATTTCATTTCAGATTCAGTAATCGTCTCATTTCATATTTCGATCAGGTTGGTGCTGCTACTTGCATTTTTGGCTGCTTTAACGATTCTATCTCGTACCTGTGTGCCATGGTTCTTAAAGCTTATGATCAGCTTATCATCGCAGGTAACCGTTTGTCCAAATTTTCAATGTCATCTTCTATCGTGATCCAAATTTGACTGGGGTTTATCTATACAGACTAATGAACTCTATCAGTTGGCATCAGTGGCTTTCTGCCTGCTTGTCGCCTGGGTAACCCTTCTTCACCGAGTTTCTTGTTTCCCCATCCGGCTGACTCCTACTAAATTGTTTGTGTATTATTGTACTACTAGAACACTAGTTAACAATATCAGGGACTTGGCCTTACCTAAATTAAGTCTCTGAATCATGATTCTCCTTTGTTTTTAATCTTTTTTTTTTTTCTGAATCAATTTGATTCTTCTTTTAAATTCTTTTTATATATATATTTCATATATCATAGTAGAATGTTCTGTCGACTCTTATACTCACCAGAGCTCCTTTACTTCCAAATAAATACACACGTGCTTATGTGATATTGTCTTATTCCAGTGTAGTGACAAGTTGGGCCTGAGCCTTGAACTGGGATCCTTTGCTGCTGGTGTGATGATATCCACGACTGATCTTGCTCAACATACACTCGAGCAAGTAAGACTGTTGTATTTCCATCTTAGAAGTCATAAATTGTTATAACCCTCATTGTTATTAATACATCATTCCTCCCAGATGTCTTTAAGACTAGACTGCGTGACATCTCAAGCCTTTTGGCACTGATATGACTAATTTGTATCTATATTGTATTTCACTATGTGTTAAGAGGATTACTCGGACAATATGTTACTACTTAACTCTGTCAATATTGTGACTAATGGTTCTATGGTCCTACAACTTCGTAAAATTTATTCCAGGAAACCAGCTACTCATTTGTTCATCAATCTTCTTTTTTCCTGTAGTAGAGATATAGTTTATGGTATCATTTTGGGTATTACCTGTCTATGTTAATTCGATGACCTTGGTTAGTTCCTGTTTGTTAATCAGATGAAAAGATAAATTGACCTTCTGTGTGGAAGTTATGAACTGGCAATGTTACTTCCAATGTGTTTGTCTTGGTTGAGAACTTAAACATCTTAAACATCTGGGCCTTGCTTCTGAAAATCTCACCAATTTGCTCTAATTTGTATTTAATAATTTTCAGGTGGAACCAATTCGCAACTTATTTGCAGCTCTCTTTTTGGCAAGCATTGGGATGTTAATTCATGTCCAATTCTTGTGGAATCACGTCGATATATTACTTGCTTCGGTACTGTTAGTCATTGTTGTGAAAACTATCATTACTGCATCTGTAGTCAAAGGATTCAGATACAACAACAAAACAGCACTCCTTGTAAGATCTCGGATTGCTTCTAAAGCACTTTGTATCTCCATATTGGTTATCTCATCTGTTCCATTGACAGAAGGTCCTCAGGTTTATTCATATCTGTAGGTTGGGATGTCCCTCGCACAAATTGGGGAATTTTCCTTTGTTCTTCTAAGTCGTGCTTCTAATCTCCATCTGATTGAGGTTTGTATTCAATGCTGGTGCTCTTTTGGCATAATGCTAGAATGCATATTCTTTATTTGGAAATTATCGTTTTTGCTTTTCTCTTTCTTATATTGCACCCTTTTAATGTGAAGACACCAACAACCTTTCAACTTTCCCTTTGTCTGGAAAATTGCTTTTAGCTGCTCATTTATATTGAAGTTTTACTTTGTAGGCTAGAACTTAGGAAATGCATATGATTTTTCAGTGGTTTTGGTACTTGTAACCACGATTTGGGCTCTCGTCCTTACTGAATTGTGTTGACTTCCGAAAATTAACTGGCAAAAGTTACAAGGAAGTAAAAGGGCATGTTGGCCAACCTTTTCTATGATCTGATGTTAGCAATGGATCTGTGCAGGGTAAATTGTATCTACTGCTTCTTGGAACGACAGCCCTCAGTCTGGTTAGTACACATGCAAAACACTAGCCTGTGGTATGATGATATATGTGAGCCTTTACTCGGATGTAGTTATCTGCCTGCCCATGTAATAAGAACAGGCTGGCATGCAAATTAAGCAGGACAAGAAACACTGAGTTTTTGCATAATGAATCGATTTCCATTCATTGCTTGCCTGTTACTTACGCTGGTCCTCTGATGGTTTGCACCAAGGCCATTTGAAACCACATCACATTTCTATAGTATGAAATTCCAAATGACGATCTTTAGTGCTTCTAGATTCTAGCGGTGGCTGGAGGCTGAACTTGGTTGATATTGATTGGTGCAGGTGACAACGCCATTTCTTTTCAAGCTAATTCCAGCAGTGGTACATCTAGGGGTGCTGTTGCGGTGGTTCCTACCAGATAGCTCTCACGAGGTAAATACTCTTGCCTCTATCTTTCTGGTACGCAATTACATTTACGTGGTAAATGGTTAAATTCTGGGAGGCAGAATGGTGAAACGTTAGTCAAATTCATAAGTTTGAGACAGTTAGTTATGTTTGCTTGTTTGCTTGCTTGTGTTGAGTTTGCATTAGTTGTTGAAGCACGTATGATTTGCTCCTTCCAGATTGGGTATAAAGGAGATAGCTTTCTGGCAGACAGTGCTAAGCGCATAACTTTGATGGTCCACGGCAATCACCATTCATGATTGATGATTGACGATGATGATGTTATAATTAAGATTGCGCATTTGCTAGCAAAGCCAAAAATTTACCTACCTGATGGGCTTGTTATACTCTCTGGGGGGCAGGTGCTTAAAGAAGGCAAAGGAGGTTGAGTTTCACTAAGGCCAACTGCTCTATTATGCCCCCCAAACTGCAATTGTATAAAGAAAAGTGCTCCCTTCCCCCTTCTTGTCGATGTAGCTTGCACAATCAATCCCCCTTACCAGCAGCAGAATGTTGGATGGTAAATTCTCTTCTTGAGTTGGAGCCGACGAAATCGACCGGGTTGCGATGTATGTGGCTTATGGACCAACGAGACTACACTCCCACGCCTCTCACCCTTACTTTGTAACATATGAGCTGTAGAGTGATGATAATCTTTGATTCTTTTTGGATCTGTGTTTTCTTTTCCTCCCCACCACCCTATTGTCATCTTTCCTTTTGGTCCATTTTTTGTTCATCTCAAGTTTTAGGGTTTAGGAACAAATCCACTTTTTTTTGAAATCCAGGTCTGGAAGTTGTATTGTTCACCAAGGAATTACAAATTAGGGAATCATTTTCTAGTTTGGAATTATGATTTGTCTTGTGTGTATCTTAAAACTGAAATGGAACTACAGTTAACTCTGACCACCTTGTGGTCATCCAAGTTGGGACCTCCAGCTGACTATTAGTGTCTTTGCTGTCTGGCAGAAGCACTAATTCTCTATGTGATTGCCCAACTTCTCAAAAGCCTGAGAGTTAATCGCTCAAAGATCCAGTTTGCTTCATCTTAGCCAATGTCTCATGATTAGAGTTTGCCTCCAATGGTCCAAATGCCAAGTAATCGCCATTCCTGATGTGTCATAAGTGTGATACAACCATTGTTACCATTGATTAATATCGCCCTCCACATTATATGATGCAAGTGGAACTTTGCGCTCCTTCAGAGTTTCATGAAATTTGAAAATTTGCTCCATTTGGTGCAACATGTCGATCATGGCTCAATTGATAATGCACAGTGTGTTTAGTTATGATGGCCAAAGTTTTCGCCATCTCAGGGTATGGTTAGACTTGCACTTGCGTTTGTTGATAGTGCGGTTGTTACGACACAAGAATTTGGTGGAAAAGACTTCTCGAGCTCATGTATGAGCTAGAATAATAAAAAGGAACTACTATAATAGTAAGAACTAGCTTTGTTCCCGGCCTGTTGGCCTGGTAAATTTCACGCCTTATTTTGTAAATTAAGAATTTTATTATTATTCTTAAAAAATGATAAATCTTCTAATTGTATATACTTTAGCAATTTATTTTGAAACATATATTTGTGGTCTCTTCAAATAAGCGTATGAGATCATCACTAAGTAACATTTCATTGCAAACTAATAAAAAGATTCAAGCAATGATTTTCGGTCCCTGACTTAAAATATAGATATTTCTAAGTCATCTAATTATCATTAAGGATCATTGACCTATTACGAATTCTATTATATGCACATGACAAAAACACCTACTTAACATTTATCACTTACATATATAATGGTTCAATTTTTTCTAATTTTTATTCATGCCTTCCAAAATGGTTTAAAAAGTCTCGCGGTACAATTTTATGTTTAGATTACCAATTATAACACAAAAAAATTACCATAGTTCACATGATAAGTGAATCAATATTTGATATCAATTTCTAACTCACCATGGAATATTATTCATGAATCATGATTCGTGCCATAAACCAAACCAACACTTTTACATCGGGATTGCTATAAAAATTAAATACCGGTGATTATCTCTTATGATAACTAATTTACATTTAAAAGATAAAAGGCTTCGTAAAAGGGCAGAGTTTCGGCTTATACAACAGCCGGAAGGGCGGAGTACGGCTGGCGAAAGGGAAAAGAGGAAGATGATGTGGACAACTTAGAATTTTAGCGTAGATTACGTGGCATAGGGCCAATTCCAAAAGTCCTTTAATATTTTTTTTAGGATTGTTGTTTTGCTATGTGGTATTTTGAATCTTTGCATTGCGGTGCCAAGTAAGTACACAATAATGCAAATGTAAGTTTACTATAAAAGGAAAAAGTGATTGGGTTAATATATTTGTATGGACTGAAATTTTTATATAATAGTATGGATTAATATATTTCGGGTCCAGAAAATCATGTTTCAAAAAAAAAAAACAAAATGAAAAAAATAGTAATAGGTGGAAAATATAAAAAACTTTCAAGTGAAAGATGCTGATTTGGCAGTGACGTGGTGTGTTGACCGTTAGTCAACGCGTTTGATCTTCCAAGATAACGGTCAATTTTCGGGTTTGGGCAATTTCGTTGTTTTGATGTATAATTCAGGTCATGATGTTATAAACCGAAAAGATTGGTCAGAATGTTTATTATGTATAAAGTTGAGGCCATACAAATATATTAACCCTAGTAATATAGGGTAACTATCATAAACGGTCACACAACTTGTCATTTAGTACAAAACGATCATTAAAGTTTAATTTTGCACTTTTCAGTCAAACACATTTGAACGAGTAACAAAAAGGTTATTTCGTCCATTTACATCCAAAAATCTGTTAACTAAATACAGTCAGCATGCCACGTCAACAAAAAAAATTAATTAAAAATTAAAAACCCAATCAACTAAGCCCAACATGACCCACTCAAACCAACTCAGGCGCGAATGGAACCCCAACCAGAAAACAATAATTTGTTTCCCCTCGCCCCTTCGTCCCGCAACTTTCTTCCTTCCCCTCCCTTCCTTTCAAAGTCTCCAGCCTCGCTGTTGTTATCACCACCGACTATTTCTCCCTCGCTTCTGACGATAGAATCATTCACCTTACTCTGTGCCGACTCTCTCTCTCTCTCTCTCTCTCTCTCTCTCTCTCTCTCTCTCAACCAAACAAAATAGAAAACAATCAAAAGGGCGACAAGACAGAGAGGGCGAAGGATTACAAGTGTTCGTCACCATTTTCCAACCACGCCAGATCTGAGTAGAGGAATTATGCCCTCGATTTGCGTCGGAGTAGTGATAAACCTCCACAACATGAGTTATGATTTGAGCACTGAATTATTATAAATGATTATGTTAAATATTGAAAAATTTTAATATCTACACACTCACTTATGAATCGATAATCGAACTATGAGTCATATTACTCGATTAAGATCTTGATACCACTGATATGAGTATTTTATTTAAGAAACATGTTTTGCTGAAATAAGGATTAAAAATTATTGGCCAAGTATTGAGAGTTTGGCTTATATTCACTGAAAAAACTAAAATATATATTTTTATGAATAATTTAAATACCATAAAAAAAAACTTAGAATGTTTAAAATAATTTAAATATAACAATAAATGAATCAATGTAAATGATAAAATGAAACTGCCTGGCCAATAGGCCAGATACAAAGCTAGTTTGGAGAATTGTAGGGGGAAGGGGATTAACCTACGGAAGGGAAGAATGTATCGGGTGAGTTTGGACTCATGGTCGGGAACAAGAGACAGAACGAGTTTTTTATTTGTGATAAACGAGAACGAGTTTTGATATGATGTTGGTAAATTATAATATGGTCCAATTCATAGTAGAGTGTATTGAGCGATCATGAGCAATGCTCATTACATCATTCAACAACCATCGACCAAGATCAAGGCCGCACACATTGAAGCGATGTGTGCCAAAATCAACAAAGTAACTCCTATTTGCTAAGAAATCAGCAGCAAAATTAGCTTCCCTATACACATGGTTAATTCTAACCTCCCGTTCTCTGTTAAGAAGAATATGAATCTGTTTAGACAAGATCCCATGGTGGTGGTCATCATCAAAACACTTCATGGAAATATCAATGGCGGCAGTGGAGTCCAAATTAAGCTGGAATATCTTGTAGCCTCTCTCCCACGCAATCCGAAGACCTTCAATTGCCCCATTAAGTTCTGCACTTGTGATGGAGCAACAACCAAGGTTGCTAGTGAAGGCGCCAGTACATCTTCCCAGGTGGTCTCTCAGCAGTCCTCCTACAGCAGCTTTCCCATAATGTGATACAACTTATCCGTTAGTTTGGATCTGAATCCAACCAGCTTCAGGCAGTTTCTAGGACACCGGTTCATTCTAGTAACGCCTCTTCGAAGCGAAGCTATCAACCTCGGTCCTTTGTTTAGCTTGCTTAATGATGTTAAGCCAGGCATCCACTCTGCCGCGAAGACTAAGCTCATTATAAGTTCTCCCATCCATGACTTCCTAATTGTGCTGCTTCCAGAGATTCCAGCAGATAACTCCGAAGTCAATTCCTTTTTCTTCGTGGAGAAGGTTCGAAAGGAGCCAGTCCTGGAAGTTACTGTTGGCACTTGTCATGGTCAGCTTGCCTCAAAATTTCTCCCGAATCCTTTTTGCCTTGTCACAGGTTCGCAGGATGTGCTCAATTGATTCCTTACAGTCTCTACAATGGTTGCAGTTTTTGTTGGTTGAGATGTTCCTTCTTGCTCGTTTCATATTGGTGAAGAGTCTGACGTGGTCCCGTGGAGGACAAGCCACATAAAGTGCTTAATCCTGCTTGGTTCTTTCCACCTCCATATTGCTTTCCAGGTTCCTTCTTCTTCTTCTTCTTCCTCCATATTGGCAGCAAGATAATAATCTGACTTAAGTCAAAATCTTCCATCTCGCTCCAGACCCCTGATCATTTTGTCCTCCCCCAGATCAACACTTGGTCTCTCCATTCCTGCAACAAGCAAAAGTTTATCCTCAGGGAGGAGTTCTTTCAGTTCATCCCAGTTCCACTCACCCCCTTCTGTAACCCAGTAGGCCACATGAGTCTCTTTCTCCTCTTCAGTAATTTCTTCGGTCGGGAAGTCTTCAAGAACCAATCTATTCTCGATCCAAGGGCCTCCAAAAGCTGGTCGATTCATCATTCCTGATGCTCCAGCAGGAGGCCTCCTTCATCAGAGGCATAGCTTTCGCCACGGCTTTCCAGAGGCTAGAGTGATTGGTTTTTCTTCATAGAAATAATGTCACCATTCCTCTACTTATAGTACTTGCCTGTAAAACCTGGACCCAAAGATTAGTGTCGTTGTTTAGCATTTGCCAAGTCAACTTGAACATGTAAGCTTTATTCAAACAACGAACTGATCTAAGACCAAGACCTCCCAGTTTCTTAGGCAGACAAATTCTCTCCCAAGACACCAGATGGGGTTTCCGTTTTCCGTCCATAAAGCACCAAACAAATCCCCTAATTCTCCTATCAATCTCATCACAAACAGAAACATGAATGGGGGTTGTTTGCATAGCAAATTGAGCAATGATGACTCTTCCAACTAATGAATGAGTCCTGGCTTTTCAGGAGGTGTAGCATTTAATGATGAAGAATGATGTCTAAATTTGACTTGGAGTTGTTTTAAAGTATGACGACATGATGACTCTCTCTTAGTGCTTTGTTTTCAATTACTTTTTTCTTATATCTAATTATTGATGTTTGGCTTTTTGTGTTTGGAGATATGGAGAAATGATGAAGGGATAATATGTGACAACATATTTTTGGGAGAGGCAACTAAATAGATTAGTGTAACTTTAAGTGTTTCAATAAGTAGTAGTCTAGTAGATTTTAATCTCTTAGAGGTTTTCGTCTTGTTAACAAGACAATGTTATTTATTGTTTAGATGTGTCAAAGTCGAACATATATGATTTGGATAGTATCGTATTTTCATTTATCTTATGGATTAATGGATGTTATACGATGGAT